CCGCTAACGTGCGCAGTGGCCGCCGATAAAGCCTTATAGAATCTGGACATGCACGGGCGCTCCCGCCGCTGCCGCGTGCACTCTGCCTCTCGCACTGCTTCGGCTCCGCTGGACGATGAGATGCGGCGCCGACGTGCACGTCCACGTGCGCCAGAGCCTCCCCCGCCCCGACAGCTCCAAGCTCCCGACGTATGTGGAGGCGTAATGCACGTGTGTGTACGTGTATATATATATATATATATATATATATATATATATATATATATAGTGTGTGTGTGTGTGTGTATGAGTGCGAGTGCAATATAAGGCGGAAGGCGGGACGTGAAGGAGGAAGGAAAAAAGCTAGTGTTGAAAATCCGCCCCCTCCGGCTCGAACCCTAGGGCTTCCCGGTCAGAGTCGCTGCAGAGACAGCGGCAATGCTGGCTCTGACGCAATGCAGTGGGTGAGAGCTGACCGAAACCATGCTCCGGAGGCGAAGCCATGGCCGGACTAGCAGTACAGTAGTTAATTACATATGATTAAAGAATACTGCACCTGATATTGGCAATGAACGGCTGATAATGCTATGTAGAAATGATTACTTAAACAGTTCATTAAATGTCTATTAAAAATCATGCCTTATAAATTAGTTATTCCTTACGTTGTTCTCAAACTTCAAGAATTCGTATAAAAACGTGCACCAATTTTAGAAAATTCAAACTCACAAACAACAGCATTTGTTTTTAAAACATGTACTTTACACGTGTTTTTTGGATCTGATATTATCCATCTGATATATAAATCCATCTGGATTCAAATATTAAATATTGAAGAAAGAAAAGAACTAGAATAAAACTATTAATTCGGCCGTTTTAATAGTAGTTTGAAGAGGTTATAAAATGGCAATGAATTCAACTTTTCTAGCATTTGTGCTATGAATCTTTTCTATAGTTATGAAGTGGAATGAGAGATATTAAACTACTCATTTTTCTACAATATAAACTTTTAATGAACTTATGAAATGATTTTTTGATGATGATTTTGATAACACTCAAGAATGATGTATTTTTTAAAAGAGTTTAATGTTATTCAAATAAATTAATAATACATTATTTTTAGTATCGAATGTGCAAGTACAATTGTTATTGTTCTAAGGGCTGAAGACATGAAGTATACATTTTATGCACATTCTCGTTCTTGTATATAGCATGACAAAATTTGGAACTCCGGAAATCTGCAGTATTATAGAGTTGTACGGTCACGTCCAATATAATATTTTCATTAAAACTATATCATATTTTCATATCTACGTTGCACAGGCCCCGCAATGAAGCCACGAACCGGTGGCACAAGTTCTATGAATGCTTCATACAAATAATTCTGCCATTACCATTCAGGTCAGACGAAAGGAAGATATCAAAAGAAGAGCATGATAAGATCGTAAGATTGGAGCATGAAATTTGAGATCCATTCCATCTTCTGTATATATTGTAGTGTTCTTTACATGTATGAGAAATATGTATGGTTACTGCTTATTGTAATTGAAAGGTGTTGTTATTGTGGAAGTAGAGTTCTGGCGTCGTCACTTCAGCCACATGTTACTGAAAGGCAGGAAATTCCAGTTTAAAATATTCATACGATTACGAGGAGTTAATTAGTGTTCACTCTTAACGCACATTCTGTTGTATACCTTGAACACAAACTCATGAATATTCATAATTCATCGCGAATCGATAAACTGATGGATTACTATTTTGTTCATTTTATGGAGTAATAACGAACTTTTACACAAATTAAAAGGTTGGCAACTCTTAAATTGTGTATTAAAACTGAATAATATTTTCATTAATCAATCGTGAATAGAACAAATTATGAAAATTAATAATATTTATACTACAGGTCAATTTAACCTTAGCTAATGTAATATACGTTTAATCTTACGATAAGAACCGAGGGAAATAAGTAGTTCCATAAACTTCTAAAAATAAGATCCTCCTGAAAAATACGCAACAAGGGGTCGTATTCCAAATATGCATCAAGAACTTATATATGTAACAAGAAGAAATAAGTTTTTTAACTCAATGAAAGTTGGGTTTTATGTTTATTTCCTATTTCACAGCATTCTTCGTTCCACGTGCTTTTACATCACAACAATCTGCATTAACAGAAGAATCTCTTCTATTGTTGAAAGCGCATCGTAATTTCTTCTATTTTACGTAAACCGATAATTCCTAAAACCGACTTTCAGTTAACACACATCTCCGTTTCGTTGGTACCGCGCGAGCGAGTCCGCGCGGGCCGTAACGTTTCCTGATGGATGAACGGGGAGGGCGAGACTGCCCGAGCACAAAAAAGCCTCCCCCGCGCGCGCGGAAGACGCGGGGGCGGCGGCGAGGTGTCGGGGCGGAGCGGAGACGGCGAGGGCGAGGGCGGCGTGTGCCGTGCCCCGCCCCGAGGTTGCCATTGGCCACCGCCCCCGCCACCGCCGCCTCCGACGCTCTATTGATCTCGGCTTAGAACAATGCCGGCGAGAAGAGCTCCCGACCCGCTCCCTCCTGTCTCCTTCCAGAAAAGCTCTCCACGCACACAGCAGAGTGCGTTCTCTTTGTGCGCCATACAAGCGGCGCTCCCTCAACACCCAACTCCACCAACTTCACGATCCGGCCTTGCGGTGAGTTATTGCGGTGCTCTAAACGTAAATTATATAAAAATCTCTCGAACGTAGGATTCGGACATTAGGTGTTACCTAAAAATGAACCCTCAAATCGATGGTGAAGTCGAGACAGATCTCCAAAGAAGACTAAATTTAATGTGCCCGATATTTCCAACATGGAAACTTAATGAAACAGTTGCTCACGAAGAGTATTTAGGCATCAGGAAGATAATTATATTTTTCGAAATTCGAATGAATCAACGCTTTTATTACGTCAATTAAAAAGACAGATTCTGAGAAGGAAATGATAACAAGTTAATTGTGACATTTAGAGGATATTGAAAACCAGACAAATGGTGCGAAAAAATACAGGGGAACACTAGAAAAATAGCTTGTCCATTACAATGCCTGAAAATCTAACCCCACAATAAATGTTTCTGTTGACAGACACCTAGTTTCAAGAATTCTTGGTTTGTGCAATTCGTAGTACCTGAATTACAATTAGTATTTATTTAAAATTTAGAAGTTCATTTTCTTCTTTAAAATATGTTGGACATCAACTATCCAGTTTGTAGGAGAGTAATGCTTATTCTGAGCTTATTTCGTGCTTTACTGGATACTACAGATGACGTGTGACACTCAAACAGGCTTTTGGTTGTCAGTCCTGTGCTTAAAAGCAAGGGACCTAGGAGTGATGAAAATGTGATAGTTACAGTCATTCAATAGCCTTTATTGAAGATATCAGAAACCAAAGCAAATCTGAATATCAGTTCATGGCTAGCAATCAGAAAACAGTCGCAGAGAAAATACTCAAACAACCTACAACTAACTACAAAGATCACACAAAGGATTACACTACAGGAGACGAACAGCGAAAGAATAATTACTGTCTGCACAAGCAATAAAGTAATGAATCACATAAATACTAGACTGTCAAACAATGAAACAGTATTTTCTGTGGGTAAAAGGTTTCTCTGTCGTAATAATTGCAGGTGATTTTCTATTATGTAAGTTTTATTGAGGCATTTGTAAGGAAGAAGGTAATTGTCGTGATAGCAATTACTTTTGTGTGTCTCTGCGACAAGTAAACGACGATAAGAAAAAAAGATACCGGATTAAATATGCAGGTTTAACAAGTAGTTAACTGTTCAAGAAAATTCTACAAGAAAATGTCAAAAACACGGCTCAGCAATTTCACTTCTTTTTAAACTAGAGTTAATAAAATTAAGCGCAAACTAGAGCAATATTCCTTTAGTTTGTCTGAAAATTATGTCAATGAATAACGAGGTGGTCGTTGCTGGTCTTGATATAAGATGTTGAATATCTTCTAAATACCTTGTTTGTAATTAATGGTATGGTTTGTTCTGAGATGCAAGAAAAGCATATGGAAAAATATACATTGCTTTCATACATCAAAATAATTTTCTAAAAAACAATCGCCACAATTATTTTAACAAAACAATAATGCTTCTAAATAAAATTAACATGAATGATTATTCAGAGCCATCTCGTAGAGAAAGACTCAGAACAAAGTTACTAACTTCCGGGTTATGTAGGACGGTCGAGGAAAATGAATTTTTCATATGTGGTGAAAACTTTCATATTTTACCGTTTCACTTGTAGCATTTGCTTTTCATTTGTTGGCAACTCATCATTCACTTTTCTTTGACGGCTGGTAAAGCTCTTTGTATCCGATATGCCAAACGCCAGTGCATAATGAGTTGCCTGCCAATCAGGGGCAAATGACACACATGCACCTTCTTTACTTGATATTTCTTCCACATGTCTTTGGCAAAATTGATATTCTTAAACCCCCTCCCTGCATTCCCTGGACGTTTGTGACATTTATTGTGTGACATCCTCGTTTCCAAATCGCTTGTTCAACTGTACCGCAGTTTGACAGTCTTTGAAAGAAAACAAGCAACTCAAGTTATCTTCAACGTATGGAAACCCACTCAAATCCTTTAGTCATTCACCTATTTGATGATAAGCAAGAAATCAACCGATTTCGCAGGCTTCAACCGTTACAAATGTATTATAGATTTTCAAATTAGTCACAATGTGTAAAGACATATATTCAACTTTTACTCCTAACCAAAAGTAAATAGAATGGCTTTTTGCTCTAGACGTAAGAAGACTGAAGAGTGTCACTGGGATACTTTCACCCACAAATTGCCATTGTCATTGTCAACTACCAGTGTTAACATGTTTAGTAATTGTGTTAATGTAAAACAGAGAGTAAATTGAGTTTGTTCGGAATGAGAAAAAAAAGGAAAGAAAGCAAGAGTTTCGCGGTCCGTCTCCGGGAAGGAAGCGCGCGAGGGCGAGGGCGTGGAGGAGGAGGAGGAGGAGGAGGCGGCGTCTTACTTTGGCGAGCCGGCAGTCCTTGACGGGGCGCCGCCCGTCGCGCGCGAAGTGGTCCCTGGCGTCCGCTCCGAAACAAGGGATGTCGCCGCCCAGCTATCGCAGAAGAGAGCATTGCGAGAGGCGGCGCGACATAACAACGCTGCGAGCAGCTCTACAGGGCTCAACCGACGGTGCGCCCTCTACCAACCACCAGCTTCACTTAGATCCCATTCAATATCACATCACATACCTAGTCACTAACTTCTACTATCCCTTCCCTTGCAACCTTCAGACTCGCAACAAATCCTAACCACACCAGAATAAAAAAATAAACAGATATCCCTAGGAAATATTCCTAAAAACATTCTCCGAATTTGCACCTGAATGGAGAACTCAATAGGGCATCCGCAATCTTATGTTAGATTTAAGATTTAAATATAAGTTATCATGTAAGCCTTTCAGGTATATCTAAAGTTGTAACTTAAACTGGCCTATGTAAGACCAATGTAGATCAATAAATAAATAAAAAACAGTTGATGAAACCGCGAGCTACTTGTAATAACACACAAATCATGTATTGTCGAACTCTGCATTTACTTGATATTGTCTCCTTAATTTTTAAATTCACAAGCATGTCCTTAACTACGAGACTAAGACACCGAACCCAAATTTCTGGTAACAAATTTAACATCCTGGTAGTTACTACAGAAAAGGACGATATTATAATCAGAAGCATTCATAAGTTAAACAAGTGTTTCTAAACAAGAAAACGTCCTCCATTTAGGTTACTCATAACAAAATAGAAAAGGTTTATATTCCGATTTGAGAAATTTTTATAACCTGGCCAGTGACCACATCAACACGTGTTTTTTTAAGTCTTTAGAAATATGATCTTTAATTGTACGAGTTCATGCTCACGTTCCTCATGTACGATTGGACTGTCATCAGCAACTAAGATAATTAAAATGTAAATACACTTGACATTATATATAGATCATATTGAGCATACGTACGCAGAGAATCAACACAAAGATCTGAATGTGAATCATCGCACAATATAGGCCGGCGGAAGTTGGAAATTATTGTTCAAATGTGTGAGTAAATGCGCTGTTTATAGTAAGTAATAAATTATTATACATTTTTGTATTATTGTCATACACTTTTTTAGAGGTGATCAAAGATTTTCGCCAAAAAACACGAAAAGAGTTTAATTTCCAAACTAACAACGGATACAAAAAGATTTTCTTTTACCATATTACGAAGTGGTAATTAGCTATACCTCTTTGACAAGTCCTACAGAAAGCATTTGTCGTGACGTACAAGTCAACGTTGTGTATTTCAGAGTCATGAAAACATCTTCGTAGTGGTAAGGAACAACAGATTATAAAGAAAATGCGTTTGTGCGTCATTTGCACCCGAACGAGTCCCATGAGTCCACGTTCTCAAGTCAGTCAAGAGAGGAGCACTCGGAGTTTACGGCCACAACGGGCCTCATCATGCACTCGTCTCAGCCTCATCGCCGGGCGCTCATCCAAACGCCCGTCGCCCCCCAACCCCACCCCTCGCCCCGCAACGACCGCACACGATAAATAACGCGTCCTCGCCGTCCTCAGTCCTTGGAAATGAAAGCGCGCGGCGCGGCGGCGGGTTTAATCAGCGCGGCCGCGGGGGCGCGGGCGCGGGCGGGGCGGTTCGCAATCCGCGACCCCGCTTTTGAGCGCCGCTTAATCTGGCGCCCCGCGCTGGCCCCCCAGGGAGCCGCGGCCCCCTCGCGCCCGCAACGCCACTATTGAATTATACGGAGCGGGCGCCGCGCGGCGCGGCACTTAACGCCGCCCGCCGCTCCACTAATCCCGCGCCGCAAGGGGAAGCCCCGGCGCAGACAGCGCCTCCCGCGGACTGATTTGAAACTAGACCGCGGCGCTGCGGCGCGCCGCGGCGACCCGATCGCTTTGGCCCAATTAATTTGAATGACGTCGCCGCGCGCGACCCTTCCCCCGCCCCCGTTCTCGCCGCCGGGGCTCGCTGGCGCCCCCTGGCTTTCGATAGCTGCGGTGACGTACGCGACATGTAGATTACCGTAATAAAGTTTTCGCCCGGAGAGGAATACTACACGTCCAACGAAAGCTGTAACCCCTGGTTGTCCACTTCAGTGGCAGAGGGATAATTTAGTGACGCGGCTCGACGCGACGAGCTGGATTGGGAGGAGGATGTTTTTTCAATATTTATCTTTCCGCGCGGAATTGGTGAGAGGCGGTGGAGAGAAAGCACTCTTGCGTGGAAAATGAAAATGTGTCGCACCAAATGCTCCTAAAGGGGAGCATACAAATTACAGGATATTCAGCTGGAGGACAAAATAAATTGTTCTTGATTGGTTTCGTTGATGTAGTAACATCAAATGTTCCCTAGTACATATCATTTTTATTCCTGAGAGCGCAGGAATACCCTACCATCGGCATGAAGTGATTCAATCGACACTTCCGTCTTCATTTCGTTTAGCTAATAATCGTAAATTTTGTAAATAATTTTGAACATCCATTACAAGCGTAAAGCAATTTTGAGCGAGGAAATGTCGAGGATCGCAAGCGCCCCCGTGGGTCAGCGGGTGGGCGTGGGCGTGGGCGAGGGCAAGGGCGAGGGCGAGGGCGAGGGCGAGGGCGAGGGCGAGGGCGAGGGCGAGGGGGCGAGGCAGAGAGCCTGCGCTCCTGCGCCCCAGCGCGGCCCGGTGCCAGCGCTCTCTTCCAGGAAGCCCGAGCGTCCACCGTCGCGTCCACGCCACTGCCCGTTTCCTGCCGCATGGAAGTTCACACGGCCCTCTTTTTTTTCGGCGCGTCCGCTCGTTATCAGGCCATAAAACGAGTTTTTATCGAGATTCCTCGTAATTAACTAGACGTTAACCAGTTCTCTAACTACGGACCGGGGCAACCCGTCGAAATTAAGACAATCGTTAATAAGAAACGAGCTTCAAACATAAAGAGGTAGAAACCATACGATGTCGTTACGAGGGGCGAGGGGTTGGTTGTAATCGGCGCCGGTGGCGGAGAGGTGCTGGTGGCGGTGGTGGTGGAGACGGTGGCGACGAGCCCTCCGCCGCCATGAGATAAACCAGAACGCTAACGACCCGGTACAGTTAACAAGAGCGCCTGCCGAGCGAGGAGCCGTTCCCCCACGCGCGGCGCAGCGCAGAGTGGAGGAGGGGGGACTGCGGGCGGAGGGGCGTTCTGGCGCTCAATACAGAGCGCAGGCGCGCGCGCGGCGGAGCGTTCGTGCGCTGCGCCGGGGACAGATGCGCTGCGCGCCGCGTTCGCTTGCTGCAGTTGGAGCACTCGCTGCGGGGCCCTTGCGACCGGCGGGCGAGACTTAGCTCGAAGCACTACTAATTATATATATATATACTATATATAATACTATATATATAATATATATATAAGACCGTGAAGCAATAATTTAGTACGATTGCTCATATTTCAGTTAAAATTTGCTCATAACGCTTTCCCAATATTGAAAGGTACTTTCCTGAACAGGCATACCATGCGAGCGACTACATTTCAGGCTCGAAATAAGAGCAGAGCTGACCGACTTCGTCCAGCCCAAGATGAGCTCGGAAATACCTGCCCATCGAACCACCTCCCTTCTTCCTCCCCACTTCATCCGAATCGTCACTCTATGCAACCCGCTACGATATGCCTAGAAATAGATTGAATAACTCACTTTTTCCAAGTCTCTCTTTCCTTGATAATAACTGCGGCCCTTAATGTACAATATTATTTTGTTGGCAATCAATAACTGAGATTTGATGTAAATATCCATCACAAAAAGATTTGTAGATGTATGTCGCCAAATAATGTACAGCCTTTTATTCTCTCTAAGAGAACTCCATTCTATAACTTTGTTTAAGATTAACGGTATACATTCCCGATGTATCTGTCCATCTCTGCTCGTAAATATTCTTGCAACATCCTCTCGCTTAATGTAATTTAAAACTTCCTTTCCTTGAACGCATTAAGACGTCAATTATAACCATGCTCATCGTTTGCGAAATGCTTATTTGACTTGCAAATATCGCGATATACTGTACCGAACGCAGCATTTTATTGACAGACGATGTGTAACGCCATGTCTCTGCTTACCAACGCCTGCTGGGCAGTAGGAAAACTTGGCACACAAATGTTACAAGCTTTCTTGTAACAAGTGAGTTATCATGGACACGATAAAAGTAATTAAAATAGCATTAATTTATTGTGTAAAATTACGGAGATAATCTTAATGTGAGAAAAGTGACATTTGTGACGGAAGGAAAGTAAACCAGTTTCTTAAGCTTCCATGCACGTAAGAGCCGAGGCCTCAGAAATGGCTTTTGAAAGACAATTATTCATTATAATGTTAGGTATACGAATGAAATCTTTTCATTATATTTTCCATGTGCAAGGCATACGAGTGCAGCAGTAAAATTAATATTATTGCGCGTATCATACTGCTTAACTTACTATTACAAATGCCTGCAGCTTTGTAAGTCAAATGTTTCAACAATTATTGAATTATTTAAAAAGCTTAAATTAAGTTAAAATACTTGTACGCATAATTGCTTTAATGATAAAATTAAAATATCGATCATGAAAGCTTTGAAGAGAGATTATAAATTGTAAGAACAATCATTAATCTTTGATTTATGAGTAAATCTGTGACACGACAGTCAGTTCAGTTGTTCTCTATACTTTAACATAAAACATGTAGACGTAATACGTCTGTTCAGACACCGACCGACATCGCAAGAAAATTTATTTTGATGTGTTAAACTTTAAATATATAAAACATTTGTTTCCTCATCCTTCTGCATTCCACATCTTCCTTGAGAACTGTTCTGCGAGATATCAACTTTTCACAAATTTTGATAATCAACTAGGTAAGACAACTCCCACAGAAGTCTTTCGGATTTCTTTACATCGTCTCCCCTGAATGCTACGTGCCTACCAACGACGAAGTCAGAAACATATCACATAACATCTTCAAATTTCTAAAGGTTATAAAATTATTTAATAAATTGTAAAGAATTGTATAAAAGATCGCTAACGACCTTGAAGTTCAGGCGCCCGAGGAAATAAAGCTTATTTTAA